GTTACAGCCTCATTCTGAAATTGATTGAATTGTATTTTCCCATCATCAATCTACACACAGTGCCCCATAATGACAGAGCAAAAACAGGTTTTAAAACATTTTGCAAATGTATAAAAAAAAAAAACTGAAATATCACATTTACATAAGTATTCAGACCCTTTACTCAGTACTTTGTTGAAGCACCTTTGGCAGTGATTACAGCCTCAAGTCTTCATGGATATGATGCTACAAGCTTGGCACACCTGTATTTGGGGAGTTTCTCCCATTCTTCTCTGCAGATCCTCTCAAGCTCTGTCAGGATGGATGGGGAGCGTCACTTCACAGCTATTTTCAGGTCTCTCCAGAGATGTTAAATCGGGTTCAAGTCCGGGCTCTGACTGGGCCACTCAAGGACATTCAGAGACTTGTCCCGAAGCCACTCCTGCATTGTCTTGGCTGTGCAAGGATCTCTCTGTACTTTGCTCCGTTCATCTTTCCCTCGATCCTGACTAGTGTCCCAGTCCCTGCCGCTGAAAGACATAAACACAGCATGATGCTGCCACCACCATGATTCACCGTAGGAATGGTGCCAAGTTCCCTCCAGACGTGACGCTTGGCATCCAGTCCAAAGAGTTCAATCTTGGTTTCACCAGACCAGAGAATCATGGTTTTTAGGTGCCTTTTGGCAAACTCCAAGTGGGCTGTCATGTGCCTTTTACTGAGGAGTTGCTTCCGTTTGGCCACTCTACCATAAAGGCCTGATTGGTGGAGTGCTGCAGAGATGGTTGTCCTTCTGGAAGGTTCTCCCATCTCCACAGAGGAACTTTGGAGCTCTGTCAGAGTGACCATCAGGTTCTTGGTCACCTCCCTGACCAAGGCCCTTCTCCCCCAAATGCTCAGTTTGGCCGGACGGCCAGCTCTAGGAAGAGTCTTGGTGGTTCCAAACACCTTCCATTTAAGAATGATGGAGGCCACTGTGTTCTTGGGGACCTTCAATGCTGCAGACATTTTTTGGTACCCTTCCCCAGATCTGTGCCTTGACACAATCCTGTCTGGGAGCTCTACGGACAATTCCTTCGACCTCATGGCTTGATTTTTGCTCTGACATGCACTGTCAACTGTGGGACCTTATATAGACAGGTGGGTGCCTTTCCAAATCATGTCCAATCAATTGAATTTACTACAAGTGGACTCCAATCAAGTTGTAGAAACATCTCAATGTTGATCAATGGAAACAGAATGCACCTGAACTCAATATCGAGTCTCATAACAAAGGGTCTGAATACTTATGTAAATAAAGTATTTCTGTTTTTTATGTTTAATAGATTTGCCAAAACTTCTAAAAACCTGTTTTCACTTTGTCATTATGGGGTATTGTGTGTAGATTGATGAGGGAAAAAATCAATTTAATCCATTTTAGAATAAGGATGTAACGTAACAAAATGTGGAAAAAGTCAAGGGGTCTGAATACTTTCCGAATGCACTATATAACTAGAAATAAAGTGACAGATAATAAATAGTAGCAGCAGCGTATGTAATGAGTCAAAACCAGTTAGTCCAAAGGGAAACCCAGCCGCGAGCTGCCCAGTGAAGCGAGCCTACCAGATGGGCTAAATGCCTTTTATGCTCGCTTCGAGGCAAGCGACACTGAAGTATGCATGAGAGCACCAGCTGTTCCGGATGACTGTGTGATCACGCTCTCGGTAGCCGACGTGAGCAAGACCTTTAAACAAGTCAACATTCACAAAGCTGCGGGACCAGACGGATTACCAGGATGTGTACTCAGAGCATGCGCTGACCAACTGGCAAGTGTCTTCACTGACATTTCCAAACTCTCCCTGACCGAGTCGGTAATACCTACATCTTACAAGCAGACCACCATAGTCCCTGTGCCCAAGGAAGCGAAGGTAAATAAATAATTACTGCCCCGTAGCACTCACGTCGGTAGCCATGAAGTGCTTTGAAAGGCTGGTCATGGCTCCCATCAACACCATCATTCCAGAAACCCTAGACCCACTCCAATTCGCATACCGCCCCAACAGATCCACAGATGACGCAATCTCAATCGCACGCCACACTGCCCTTTCACACCTGGACAAAAGGAACACCTATGTGAGAATGCTGTTCATTGACTACAGCTCAGTGTTAAACATAATAGTGCCCACAAAGCTCATCACTAAGCTAAGGACCCTGGGACTAAACACCTCCCTCTGCAACTGGATCCTTCACCCATGACTGCATGGCCAAACACGACTCGAACACCATCATTAAGTTTGCTGACGACAACAGTGGTAGGCCTGATCACCGACAACGATGAGACAGCCTATAGGGAGGAGGTCAGAGACCTGGCAGTGTGGTGCCAGGATAACAACCTCTCCCTCAACGTGAGCAAGACAAAGGAGCTGATCGTGGACTACAGGAAAAGGCGGGTCGAACAAGCCCCCATTAACATCGACGGGGCTGTAGTGGAGCGGGTAGAGAGTTTCAAGTTCCTTGGTGTCCACATCACCAACAAACTATCATGGTCCAAACACACCAAGAAAGTGGTGAAGAGCCATGACGACACCTTTTCCCCCTCAGGAGACTGAAAAGATTTGGCATGGGTCCCCAGATGCTGAAAAAGTTCTACAGCTGCACCATTGAGCATCCTGACCGGTTGCATCACCACCTGTTTTGTCAACTGCTCGGCATCTGACCGTAAGGCACTCCAGAGGGTAGTGCGTATGGCCCAGTACTTCACTGGGGCCAAGATTCCTGCCATCCAGGCGTTGGTCTATATAGGCTACAATGTTGCGCAAACCATCAACCCCGGGCCAGCCCAACACAAATACATTCTTAAATCAAATCAAATCAAATCAAATTTTATTGGTCACATGCGCCGAATACAACAGGTGCAGACATTACAGTGAAATGCTTACTTACAGCCCTTAACCAACAGTGCATTTATTTTAAACAAAAAAAGTAAGAATAAAACAACAACAAAAAAAGTGTTGAGAAAAAAAGAGCAGAAGTAAAATAAAGTGACAGTAGGGAGGCTATATATACAGTAAAATAAAGTGACAGTAGGGAGGCTATATATACAGGGGGGTACCGTTGCAGAGTCAATGTGCGGGGGCACCGGCTAGTTGAGGTAGTTGAGGTAATATGTACATGTGGGTAGAGTTAAAGTGACTATGCATAAATACTTAACAGAGTAGCAGCAGCGTAAAAAGGATGGGGTGGGGGGGCAGTGCAAATAGTCCGGGTAGCCATGATTAGCTGTTCAGGAGTCTTATGGCTTGGGGGGTAGAAGCTGTTGAGAAGTCTTTTGGACCTAGACTTGGCACTCCGGTACCGCTTGCCGTGCGGTAGCAGAGAGAACAGTCTATGACTAGGGTGGCTGGAGTCTTTGACAATTTTGAGGGCCTTCCTCTGACACCGCCTGGTATAGAGGTCCTGAATGGCAGGGAGCTTTGCCCCAGTGATGTACTGGGCCGTACGCACTACCCTCTGTAGTGCCTTGCGGTCAGAGGCCAAGCAGTTGCCATACCAGGCGGTGATGCAACCAGTCAGGATGCTCTCGATGGTGCAGCTGTAGAATTTTTTGAGGATCTGAGGACCCATGCCAAATCTTTTTAGTCTCCTGAGGGGGAATAGGCTTTGTCGTGCCCTCTTCACGACTGTCTTGGTGTGTTTGGACCATGATAGTTCGTTGGTGATGTGGACACCAAGGAACTTGAAGCTCTCAACCTGTTCCACTACAGCCCCGTCGATGAGAATGGGGGCGTGCTCAGTCCTCTTTTTTTTTCCTGTAGTCCACAATCATCTCCTTTGTCTTGGTCACGTTGAGGGAGAGGTTGTTGTCCTGGCACCACACGGCCAGATCTCTGACCTCCTCCCTATAGGCTGTCTCATCGTTGTCGGTGATCAGGCCTACCACTGTTGTGTCGTCGGCAAACTTAATGATGGTGTTGGAGTCGTGCCTGGCCATGCAGTCATGGGTGAACAGAGAGTACAGGAGGGGACTGAGCACGCACCCCTGAGGGGCCCCCGTGTTGAGGATCAGTGTGGCAGATTGATATCAGGCACTGTTTTCACATTACGTTTTTTAGGGGGCAGCCAAGAGAATTACAGAGATCAATTAGAATTAACTCTGATTGCTTTAATTTTTATTTTTACATCACTGGGGCCAAGCTTCCTGCCATCCAGGACCTCTATACCAGGCGTTGTCAGAGGAAGGCCCAAAAAATTGTCAAAGACTCCAGTCACCCAAGTCATAGACTGTTCTCTCTGCTACCGCACGGCAAGTGGTACTGGAGCGCCAAGTCTAGATCCAAAATGCTTCTTAACAGCTTCTACCTACAAGCAATAAGACTGCTGAACAATTAATCAAATGGCCACCCGGACTATTTACACTGACCCCCCCACTTTGTTTTTACACTGCTGCTACTCGCTGTTTATTATCTATGCATAGTCACTTTGCCCCAACCTACATGTACAAATTACCTCGACTAACCAGTACCCCCGCACATTGACTCGGTAACAGTACCCCCTGTATATAGCCTCGTTATTGTTATTTTATTGTGTTACTTTTTATTAAAAAAAAATTTTTTACTTTATTTTATTTAGTAAATATTTTCTTAACTCTTTCTCGAACTGCATTGTTGGTTATGGGTTTGTAAGTAAGCATTTCACGCTAAGGTCTACAACTGTTGTATTCAGCGCATGAGACAAATACAATTTGATTTAACCCCCCCATACAAAAACTCCTCGCTTGGTGGGTGAAACAACGCCACCTGCCGGAAGGAGACAGATTGACGCCGAGTTGGGTGGGTGAAACAACGCCACCTGCCGGAAGGAGGCAGATTGACGCCGAGTTGGGTGGGTGAAACAACGCCACCTGCCGGAAGGAGACAGATTGACGCCGAGTTGGGTGGGTGAAACAACGCCACCTGCCGGAAGGAGACAGATTGACGCCGAGTTGGGTGGGTGAAACAACGCCACCTGCCGGAAGGAGACAGATTGACGCCGAGTTGGGCCTCTCGCTTCCTGTTTCTGTCAGATAGAACACGTCTTCGTTGTGGCTGTCTGACGCTGTTCAGCCATTTTGGGTAGGTTGTTCGACGACGAGCTGCTAGCTACCACACGACAACACCAGGCCGAATACTTCAACCGAACTGAACAAAAGCCGTTTTACAAAAAACATCGTTAAATATGGGTCCACCAGGAGACAACCCACGTCATGTGTCCTCTGAAAGAACGGAGGATTTCAGTTGGTTTGTCAATTTATCTTGACATGGCATGCAGGTTAGTTGGTGGTTGTGACGACTGAAGAAAACCACGAAAAACAAGCGCAGATAGCTAGTTAATACCTCAACTTCAGTGCGTGAAATAGATTTTGAACACGTTTGTTGTTGGCTGTAAAAAATCTAGTTGGTTCTCTCGACGGGAATCCTAAACATCATGATGATATTAAGCAAAATGTCATTTAAAATGCAGAGAGACAACAGTTAAGATAGCCAGTCAACCGGACAAGTCATTCGACATTAAATACCAAGCAAGCCAGACAGAACTCGGCTTAAATGTAAAACGAAAGATGACTGTCAGCTAGTTAGTTAACTAACCGCACGACATAGGCCTCAATTACGTCAAGTAGTAAAAAGATGTAGCTAGCTAGTTGGCCCACTAACTAGTTAGTGTTGAAGTGTATGCTGCTTAGCCTAGCTAGTCAGCTAAAATACTCCGTCACTATGAGTATCGACAATGGAAGTAAACAAGGCCGCGGGCCAGTTCAATGGCAGTAAGCCCCGAGATGTCAAGCGACGCTGGAAACTTTAACGTTGTAACTTGGTGCCAACATCTTCTGGCATCCACATGTACTTGCCATGATGGTTTTCTATACCCCCAGTCATTCAGCAGCACGTTCATAACGCGGTCTCTGCAGAGAAATACACAAACGGCGTCAGTCATGGACGAAGCTTTGAGTTTGAGAAGACACGAATAGAATTGTCTGCTTTTTAGTTTGTGTAATAATCTTCTATTTCACTAGCGAGAATTAGTGTCGGTATGGGTTTTGGAAATGGCTATCCTTTCTGTTAGCAGTTGTCAGTAACATAAAGAAAAAGTGCACCTAAATGCGATTTGCTCATTTGTTTTCACTAGGCCAATGATGTGTTGAATTAAAGTTCCTTTGGCCTGTATTCGAATGTCATACTTTTAATCACATGGCTTCTTGAGTAATGAATAAAACAAATGTAGCCAAATATTAAGAACCCCCCTCCTGAGCATATCCATTTAAATACATTTAAAATGACATAGCTTGATATTTAATTTGTTTCCTCCTTCAGTTAGTTATTTCGAAAGAGCTAGTGTAGAATAATTAGATTTCTCGTTTCTGTAAAGGGTAGCTAACTAGCTACATTTCTCTCAAGTAAATAGACAACTCGAAAGTATAGTCAAAATATTCTGTAAAAGAGAAGACACTAGCACCAAAATCTAATAATGGGGGACCCAACCTGGAGAAGAAACCAAACTAGAGATAGACTCCGTGCTCAGATTCGAAAGAAAAGGGAATCTTTGGCTGACCAGTTTGACTTCAAGATCTACGTAGCCTTTGTGTTCAAAGACAAGGTGAGTATTATGGAGGACGCAATTAAAGATTTTGGCAGTGAGGCCCTTTATCTGCTTCGCCAGAGTCTGATTAACTCGTGGATACCATTTGTCTCTGCCTGCAGTTTGAAGGAAGCTGCTAACTAGCGTTAGTGCAATGACTTAAGTCAATGCTAGTTAGCATTGGCTCGCAAAACTACCTCTTAACTAACTTCATACTGGACATTAAAATCGGATCCACGAGTTCATCTGACTCTGGGGAAGTTGATAAAGGGCCTCATTGTCAACATCCCCAAGTATCCCTTTAATGTCTCTTCCCTTTCCTCTGTGCTCCTTCCTATGGCAGAAGAAGAAGTCTGCACTGTTTGAGGTAGCTGAAGTGGTACCAGTGATGACCAACAACTATGAAGAGACTATCCTGAAAGGTGTGCAGGATTCCAGCTACTCCCTCCAGAGTTCCATAGAACTAATGCAAAAAGATGTTGTGCAGTTACATGCCCCACGCTACCAGTCAATGCGCAGGGTAAGTCAAGAACCGGATTCCTTCCATTGGGCAAACCTACCAAACCATGTGCTTACAAACACTGCGATGGACACAGACAGTTGGCCATTCCTAGTTGTTGTTGAGGAAATGTGTCAACAATGAATGTTCCTCATTTCTACTAGCATGACTCACATTGTAGTGTTTCAGCCAGCATACCACATTGTAGTGCTCGGGAAACAATGCCGTTTATTAGCTGAAACCATGCCGTTTATCAGCTGAAATATGTTATGATGAACTTCAAAGGGTGGTGCACGTTGATGTGCTCGTTGCACCTTTCGGCATCGATGCTTGACTGCCGTTTGACAATTAAAAATATCCAGAATAATCTCATAATGTAGACTAACCTACTGAATCTGCCAGCTGTTGACTAAGACCAGAATAGGCACATTTGCTATTTAAAGCAACACTTTAGAGTTTTATTCGGTACATGAAAATTTAAGCGAAAAAGTACATTTTGTGTGCTACGTCATCACGCATTGATTTTTATCCACAACAAGTCCGTTTGGTGGAAACACACCACTGGTGGGAAAAGGGTACATTTTCTTTATGCAAATCTTTGAATATTCACATGGAAATCTGTCGCCAATTGGATGGAAACCTAGCTAGTGACATAGGGTTCTGGTCCAAAGTAGTGCACTATATAGGGAATAGGGTGCCATTCTCTGGTCTAAAGTAGTGCACTATGTAGGGAATAGGGTTGCCATTCTCTGGTCTAAAGTGCATAAGGATAGGTGCCACTATAAAGTGCTATATAGGGAATAGGGGTGCCATTCTCTGGTCTAAAGTAGTGCACTATATAGGGAATAGGGTGCCATTCTCTGGTCTAAAGTAGTGCACTATGTAGGGAATAGGGTGCTGTTTGGAAAGCGAACAGACATTATGCTGTTTATTGACTGTAGCTTTCCTCTCTGTTGTTGTTGCAGGATGTCATAGGGTGCACCCAGGAGATGGACTTCATCCTGTGGCCGCGCAACGACATAGAGAAGATAGTCTGTCTCCTGTTCTCCAGATGGAAGGGGGCCGAGGACGAACCCTTCAGGCCTGTTCAGGTAAAACATTTAGCTTCCTTCATCAAATAGCTGGGTGGTATTCACTAGCGCACACCGTAGGAAAAAGGTTTGCAATGAAAACAAGTTTCTTATTGGACATTCAGGTAGTCCCTCTCTGTTTGGTTCCGAGTTAATATGCCCCTGAATTCAATTGTCATAATTCAAAGAGTATTTTATACTGTTATGTTGAGGGCCAGTCATGGTGGACGGAGTAGGGCTTATTGCACTTGTAATCCAATGTTTATCCACAGGCCAAGTTTGAGTTTCATCATGGAGACTACGAGAAGCAGTTGTTGCATGCTGTCGGCCGGAGAGGACAAGGCTGGAATGGTTCTGAACAACCCCACTCAGTCCGTTTTCCTCTTTATGGACCGACAGCACTTACAGGTCAGTCCATACACGGCACAGCTGAGCTTACCGCCCGTAGAGCTCTGGTCAAAGGTAGCGCACCATGTTGGAAATGGATCACCATTTGGGCATGTAGCTTGTCTGACAGTCCTTCTCTTTGTGGCAGACTCCCCTCAATGCTACCCTGTCACCACTGCACTAGTCACAATGGCTTTGGGAAAGCTAAGAGCTCTAATTGGAGCACTAACGTAGCTGGTAGAGGATCATTCAGACAAAACAGTCCTCTTTCTGCCATGGGACAATGATGTCTTACCCATATAAATAGAATATATTAGTGAAATGACTTATTATTAATAGATTCTATGGTTTTACCCTTCTCTCTGTCAACCATGTTCTCTCTCGTCATCTCTTCTGTCCCTGTCAGACTCCTAAAACCAAGGCCACCGTTGTCAAGTTGTGCAGCCTTTGCCTCTACCTGCCCCAGGACCAGCTAACGTGCTGGGGCGTTGGCGACATCGAGGACCATCTCCGCCCGTACATGCCTGACTAGGGCCAGCCTGCCTCCATGGCTTCCACCCACAACACAGACGACTAACCCCCCCCCCCCCCCAAGCCGCTGAAGCAAGTTGACCTCTCTCATCCACCACACATTCTTCCTTCCATTGAATAGAATTGAACTGATGCTTGGATCTCCTAAAAGTTGTTAACCACGTGTTTGTTAGTTTCCATCCTCCTGAATCCACATGTTTTTCCCTACCAAGCTTCTTCCTCCTAGCTCTGCTCCACCCGTTTGGGATTGGTTGTCCCTTTTATCCTCACCCATTTCTCCATCCATCTTTTGGTTTATTTTGAACCTGCACGAACATTGATTTGAGTGGTTGGTTATTCAACCTGGAGCTGCACTGTCAACGACACAGACGAATCCAGTCCACTGAAGGAACTCTTTATGTTGCTACCAAGCAGGAACGAAGCCACACCAGGTTTTCATGATGTTCACGGGGGGTCCTCAGTCTCTGCTGGACGCATCGTAACCCATCTCATAACAGATTGGAAAAGCTTCTGTCATTTCAAAGATAGGTGAAAGAGGAAAATATACTGGGGGGGGGGTTCTAGAACAACTAGGTTCAATCTATGATGACAGGTCAGCCTAGGTGGTGTTAAAACGTTTCCTGTAAAGCAAAGATAAAAGGTGAACAGTATTTGTCAAATCATTTGGTGTAGGTAGTTACAGCTTTATTTTTCCTTTTAAGCCACCGTTGTTTAATGTTTGGCTCTTTTTATTTTGGGGTTAATTTGCTTTTCCTGTGAAATATTCCAGGAACACCATTTGTAAGATCTGGAGTATAGATGGGAACTGATGGGAGATCTGGAGTATACAGGGTTGAATATGTTTGTTATATGCTGAAGGTTGTAACCACGCAAGCCATTCAAGCTACTGAAATAGGATGGGTTTGTTTTTTTCCCGGGTGTGGGTTGGCATGGGTGTTGAATATGGAAGAACTAATGTTAAAGCTAATGTACCTAACAATGGAACAGGTTGTTGAGTTAAAATTAATGGGATCGTTACATTTTTATGTTCTTTAATTTGACAGACAAGTATCCTAAAGAGTACTAATTGTTGCAGTGCTTATAAAATGTAAAATGGGGTGTTTTTTTGCAAGCTTGCTTTGCTGGGAGAAATAAGGCACAAATCAGTCAGTACATTTAATTTAGGGTTTTCTTTGTTGATTCAATATGTTCGATTAAAGGCGGGTCATTTTTCTGAGTTTATTCTTCATTTTGAAATGAATCTAAAAAAAATCAACACGGCTGAACAATATCCCAATACAGTGCAAACTTTGAAAAGTATTTCCTGGTGTGTTTTATTGTGTGTACACAAAGTATATATTTACAGCAGAATGACATGCAGAAAAATATTTAGCAAGTCTGTGGGGGTGAAGAACAATTACTGCCACAGTACCACAACAGTCATCTTCACCCCGAGACTTCCTGCCTGACAGTACTACACAGCAGCTGTATGATGATTCCCAATTTGCTGACAGTGTCTCTGGGGTGGGGGAAGTTTCCCCGAGGTACAGATCTAGGATCAGCTTTCCCTCCCCCCCCCCCAATCCTAACCATTAGTGGGGGGGGGAATGCAAAACCGCCCCTAGCTCAGCGTCTAGGGGCAACGTCACCCTTACACCGAGCGGCTGATCTCGCTACCAAGGTGCTTTGTGTGTCTTCCTTGTGCGATGAGTTTCCCGGAGGCTTTGCTAGTGAGGTCTACAGTAGCGAACGCCAGGGTCCGTCCTTGCTTCAACACCTTGGCAGTGATCAGCACGTCCTCACCCACCTTGGCAGCGTTCATGTACCTGTCGGTAAACAGTTGTTCCATTCAGTGAGTGAGTCCCAAATGGCACCCTACTGTGCACTTCTTTAGACCAGAGCCCTAGAGCGCTATTTCAGACACAGGGATATGTTCCATTGTGTTTTGACAACCGGTTACTCTTTAATCCTTCACCTACTACAGTGTGTGACTTGTAGAGGCCTAGACAGTTTGGGCTCAGCCCAAGACTAGAAAACCAAAACAGCAAAGTCTTGTTCTGGTGGCCTCTACATAGAGCACATGCATTCTACACATATTATTTACATATTATTTACATTTTAGTCATTTAGCAGACTCTCTTATCCAGAGCGACTTACAGGAGCAATTAGGGTTAAGTGCCTTGCTTAAGGGCACATCGACAGATTTGTTCTACACATATATTATCAAGCGTGGGTACCAGTCTTTGTGCCATCATGTCAAACCGCACAAACAGATCTGAGACCAGGCTATTCCCCGTGTATCAGCTAGCTAGTGTAATTTAAACTATAAAAAACTCACGTGATGTTCATGTCCACGCTGACACCAGGCGCCCCCCGTTCCGTGTACATGATGGCCGTGGTGGAGATGACGTCGACCAGCGTTGCCGTTAGACCCCCGTGAAGGGTGCCCCCCCGGTTGGTGTGCTCCTCTTCAACTTTAAACTCACACACCACTGTCCCTGGGCTGGCTGTTACAATGTCCACCTGGGGAACAGACAACCAGTCATTCATTATCCCTTGATCAATTAAAGAAGACGGCACTGTAATATATCAGAGTAGCAAGACTAGGGGTAAATCTGAATATTTCCTTGTCTCCTCTACTTGCCTCCTCAAAATGCATTGGAGGAACCTCAGATGTGCAATGAAAAGGACACGAGGGAGGAAGTGAGGAATCAAGAAAATATAATTGAGATTCACCCTAGGTAACGAGAGAAAATGTAAGTTTTTTCAAATGGTATTTTTACATGCACAACAAGCCTGTCAAGGAGGTAAATGGGTGGAGTTGGGCAGCAACCTCCGGTGCTTACAGTAGTTTATTGTACAGTAACTCGTAAAATATTTTTTTTTTTACTGTGACATACCTTACTTAAAACTCGATCAAACCCCGGAGTGTCCACCATCGCCCGCATGATTGTTTTTAACGAGTTTAAAGACAGAGAAACCATGTTTTTAACGCTGAATGTGTTCAATGTCAACTTCTTACAAGTAGAGTTTCCTCCAAACAGGAAACTGTTCTGATAGCTAAGTGTTCCGGAAATCATAGACAGTTTAACAAGGTTCCGCTTTGATTTCATATTTATTGGCCATGATTATGCTTTTTTTTTTTTACTCGCATATGAAAGTGTCTTATATATTGATGGAGTTCGTGTTCATTTTCGGCATATTGACTTGAATTTAATATTCAACCTAAAAACGGATCTTTGCGTCAAGCCGGACTATTTAGATGCTCTCACAGCTGTAACTGGTGACACACATCCAGCAACACTCAACTAAAATGGCTTTGCGTCGCATCTAACAAGATTTAAGCATCGCTATGAAATAGAGAAACAATTAGTAATATTTCCAAGTCGACTTAATAATAAACGAGGCTCAAAGCTGACGTTGCCTTGCTGAAAATGACTGGGAAATGGAGGTATAGCTAGCTAGCTCATATCAGTCCAATTATTATTAGATCTCCTTTCCCTTGTACGAAACTATTGAAATTCTATCCAGTGTGTTGCCAATAGCCTGTTTTTACCCCACAGCCTGTTTGGTTTGTGGTAAAAGTTATTTCTGAGAGTTCACTGCCATATCAAAGTTTGTCCGATATTTTCAGGCCTCAAAACTGTTCTAATGTTATGTCCATCATCACCTTGTAACAGATTCAGCTATCAAGGCAAATGAATGGGAACATAAGCACCATCAAAGATGATGACGTTGGAGGCATGGGACATGAACTGAACAGGTCTGAAAACAACTGACCAAACAAGAACCATCCCTCACCTAACTGCATGCATGTTGTGTTAACGTTCAGAGAGCATTGAACTCATTTTTCGAGGCTGACAAGGAGCGGTTTTTGCAGTGGAAGAGAGGAAAAGTAGCCCACCCAAAGTTAAGAGACAGAAGTTGGACAAGAGCAAAGAGGACTGACACTTATTGCAATATGTATTTTCTAGGCCTATTTACAACATTAATGTCTATTTTGTAAATGTTTTGATTTTCTATGCCAGGTTAACTGTAAGATTAGCCAGTGGTGTAAAAATACTTTAAAGAACTACTTACAGTGAGGGAAAAAAGTATTTGATCCCCTGCTGATTTTGTACGTTTGCCCACTGACAAAGACATGATCAGTCTATAATTTTAATGGTAGGTTTATTTGAACAGTGAGAGACAGAATAACAACAACAAAAATCCAGAAAATGCATTTAAGAGTGTGCTCCTAATCTCAGCTCGTTATCTGTATAAAAGACACCTGGGAGACAGAAATCTTTCTGATTGAGAGGGGGTCAAATACTTATTTTCCTCATTTTTGACATGCGTTTTTCTGGATTTTTTTGTTGTTATTCTAAATTTACAAAATCAGCAGGGGATCAAATACTTTTTTCCCTCACTGTAGGGAAGGAAGTGGGAATGCTGTCTGAACACTGAGCCGACTGTAACAGATAGAATGTGTGTCAAGGTGCTGGTAACAGATACAGGTTATAGCTAAATATTTGTTTTCCTAGACAATCTTGCCTCCAGTGAATTACTCCTCCATCAGTGAAGGCAGGCCAATCGTTGCCATAACAAACACGGTTACTTCAATCAGGAAGTCATCTGGACAGGCATCCTTCTGGCAGGAAATGAAATCAATAAGGAGTAGTTTATGTGGGTACCTGTACTTTACTTTAGTATTTATATTTTTGACAACTTTTACTACATTCCTAAAGAAAATAATGTACTTTACGCCATACATGTTCCTTGACACCCAAAAGTACTCGTTACATTTTGAATACTTAGCAGGACAGGAAAATTGTCAAATTCACACACTTATCAAGAGAACATCCCTGGTCATCCCTACTGCCTCTGATCTGGCGGACTCACTAAACACAAATACTTTGTTTGTAAATGATGTCTGAGTGTTGGAGTGTGCCTCTGGCTATCCGTAAAAAATAAAATAAAAATGGTGGCTTCTGGTTTGCTTAATATAAGGAATTTGAAATGATTTATACTTTCTTTTACTTTTGATACTTTAGTAGATTTAAAACCAAATACTTGTAGACTTTTAGTCAAGTAGTATTTTACTGGGTGACTTTCACTTTTACTTGAGTCATTTTCTATTAACATATCTTTACTTCTACTCAAGTATGACAATTGGGTACTTTTTCCACTACTGAGATTAGCTTCTACCCCCTTGGTTTTACATTGCTGTTTATTGTGTCTAGGGGTCTAGATCACTGTGGTTCTAGATCTGGGGCCGTATGTATGAAGCAGTAGAGGTAACTAGGATCAGGTCCGTCCTGTCTAGTCTTATTCGTTGTGATCTAAAAGGCACTCCTATTCAGACGCTTGATACTGTTCTACGATCGGTCCTTTCAAAACAAGACACTAGGCACAAAATGGAAGCAAATGGGCCAAAACGGGTATGATGCATTTTGCATCATATGATGCTGTGTTTTGCATCTTATGATGCAAAATGCATCATACCTGCTGTACTTTTTTATTTCGAGAGTTATACAGTGCATTCGGAAAGTATTCAGACCCCTTCCCTTTTTCCATATTTTGTTATGTTACAGCCTTATTCTAAAATGGATTAAATAAAACATTTTCGTCATCAATCTACACACAATACCCCATAATGACAAAGTGAAAACAGGTTTTTTGCAAATGTATTAAATATTAAAACCTGAAATACCTTATTTATTTGCTATGAGACTAACAATTGAGTACCGGTGAATCCTGTTTCCATTGATCATCCTTGAGATGTTTCTACAACTTGATTGGAGTCCACCTGTGGTAAATTCAATTGATTGGACATGATTTGGAAAGGCATACACCTGTCTATATAAGGTCCCACAGTTGACAGTGCATGTCAGAGCAAAAACCAAGCCATGAGGTTGAAAGAATTGTCCATAGAGCTCCGAGACAGGATTGTGTCAAGGCACAGATCTGGGGAAGGGTTCCAAAAAACCTGATGGTCACTGACAGAGCTCCAGAGTTCCTCTGTGGAGATGGGAGAACCTTCCAGAAGGACAACCATCTTTGCAGCTCTCCACCAATCAGGCCTTTATGGTAGAGATGCCAGACAGAAGCCACTCCTCAGTAAAAGGCACATAACCGCCCATTGGAGATGTAACTCTTTGGCCTGAATGCCAAGCGTCACGCCTGGAGGAAACCTGGCACCATCCCTACGGTGAAGCATGGTGGTGGCAGCATCATTCTGTTGGGATGTTTTTTCAGTGGCAGGGACTGGGAGACTAGTCAGGATCGAGGGAAAGATGAACAGAGCAAAGTACAGAGAGATCCTTGATGAAAACCTGCTCCAGAGTTCTCAGGACCTTAGACTGGGGCGAAGGTTCACCTTCCAACAGGACAACGACCCTAAGCACACAGCCAAGACAACGCAGGAGTGGCTTCGGGACAAGTCTCTGAATGTCCTTGAGTGGCCCAGCCAGAGCCCGGACTTGAACCCGATCAAACATCTCTGGAGAGACCTGAAAATAGCTGTGCAGCGACGCTCCTCATCCAACCTGACAGAGCTTAAGACGATCTGCAGAGAAGAATGGGAGAAACTCCCCAAATACAGGTGTGCCAAGCTTGTAGCGTCATACCCAAAAAGACTCAATGCTGTAATCACTGCCAAAGGTGCTTCAACAAAGTACTGAGTAAAGGGTCTGAATACTCATGTACACATTTTACATTTTAGTCATTTAGCAGACGCTCTTATCCTCTTATGTCATTATGGATATTGTGTGTAGATTAATGAGGGAGAAAAAAAAAATCATCCATTTTAGAATAAGGCTGTAACGTAACAAAATGTTGAAAAAGTCTGAATACTTTCCGAATGCACTGTTTATCTTGAAAACTTGACAAGCTAATCAATATCTCAAAATAGGAATCTGGAAACCCTCTAACATTTCATTTAACATTACTTCTTTCACAGGTGACAAAGGTTGGAGGCCTGCCCAGTGGTGTGTGTGGAGCAGCTTGGGAAGCAGTGCAGGTACAACAAGGCTAACAGCAACGAGAGTGTACCGTATGTCAGCAGGTATCGGTGTGACTGCGGTTACCTCCAGCCAGCCAGGGAGGGCCCTGGGTCCCGGATGGCCCCAGACCACATGGCCCTGGTGGGGTTAGAGAAGCTGGACTGTGGTCGCTACACCAGCGATTACTGGGGAATCTACTGCAGCTTTAACACTGAGACTGAGGCTGTGTCCCAAATTGCACCCTATTCCCTATATAGTGCACTACTTTAGACCAGAGAATGGCACCCTATTCCCTATATAGTGCACTACTTTAGACCAGAGAATGGCGCACTATTCCCTATATAGTGCACTACTTTAGACCAGAGAATGGCACCATATTCCCTATATAGTGCACTACTTTAGACCAGAGAATGGCACCCTATTCCCTATATAGTGCACTACTTTAGACCAGAGAATGGCACCCTATTCCCTATATAGTGCACTACTTTAGACCAGAGAATGGCACCCTATTCCCTAGATAGTGCACTACTTTAGACCAGAGAATGGCACCCTATTCCCTATATAGTGCACTACTTTAGACCAGAGAATGGAACCCTATTCCCTATATAGTGCACTACTTTAGACCAGAGAATGGCACCCTATTCCCTATATAGTGCACTACTTTAGACCAGAGAATGGCACCCTATTCCCTATATAGTGCACTACTTTAGACCAGAGAATGGCACCCTATTCCCTATATAGTGCACTACTTTAGACCAGAGAATGGCAACCTATTCCCTATATAGTGCACTACTTTAGACCAGAGAATGGCACCCTATACACAGCCTCTCTATGGACACTGACAGTATGATTCAAAGACAGCTAACTTTTAGTTCCTTCGTTCCAATGCTAGTGCCTCGAGTTAAGGACTTTCGTCTTTGACTCAGTTCTTAATGTTATTGCGAGAATTCCTCACCCATCATTCCTCATGCCCAATATTCCTGTGATCGTTCCAGGTGTTTCTGTGAGAGTATCCACTCCCCTCCCACTAGGCTATCCTCATCACAGTGTTCAAATGCTTTCTCTCTCAAAA